AAGACAGTAATTTTGACGGATGATCATATAACAAATGAGCAAAGGAAATAAACTTCTTTATATCCAACGATCCTTCTCCCAGACATGTTACCAGCACATGTGCGATTTCTCTCTTCCCCCTATGCTATCTTCCTGCTTGCTTTATGGATACATTCCTAAGGTATAGAGTTTCGGGCCGAGGGTGGGGTTTGGTAGGTTGCTGTTTGATCCTGATACGGCAAATATGCAGGATCGGTATGAGGTTCGGTATGAAGCTAATGGTCGTGGAACATCTCTAAAACGATAGGTGGTATGAGGTGTTTTGCTAGGGCGTTTCTGATTCTCCGACGATGGAGAATAGCGCGTGTGGTAAGCAGCCAAGAATGATGAATGTCCAACATAGTGCACGCTGCTTCATAGTCTCTGATTCCCCATACTTTCCTTGGTATTCCAACACAATAGCCAAGTTGTTGAGGCTTTTTAGGGTGACAGGTTTTGTAAATGTTTATGGAATCGTTCTCGTTCTGGGAGGTATGCGTGAGGCGCTTTGATTTCTTGTCGTTATAGATATCTCGAATACTGCTTTTGTTGCTGCTATCTGGCACACCCCTTTTCTTCCACGCAATCCTATCCCCTCTTTGTACGGTTGACTACCTTCTAACCCCCACCTGTTGCTCCTTCTCCGAGCTTCTCTTAAGTTCCCTTTACCCCTCCTCAATCAACCAATCTCATTCCACCTTCTGACCACATGCTCCAAACCCCGCTCCGGCTAAACATCTTATATTGTACAGGGATACCGAAAACCCTCCAGAACATTCCATCCCTCATATAAATTGAACACTCATAAGCCTGACAAATAGGAAACCAATACAAGACCACCTCCGGAAGCTTCTGGCATACCCGGGCTGAATTGATGCGGCTTCGGCTATCAAGTACGGGTGCAGTACCGGTGATTTTCAATAACAGGATGGTCAGGTCCGAGAACCTTCTCGCGTCCCTCCAGTGCATGCCGACGCATCGTCTCTGATTCACCGTACTTTCCACGGTATTCCAGCACAATGGCTAGATTATTGAGGCTTCCAAGGGTGCTGGGATGGTCTGGTCCGAGAATCTTCTCACGTCCCTCCAGTGCATGCCGATGCATCGTCTCTGATTCCCCGTACTTTCCTTGGCATTCCAACACAACAGCTA